AAGAGCATCTCTGAACACACAACACGTCCAACCTTGAGGCGGATGGGCTACAGCAGCAGAAGACCACACCGGGTGCCACGACTGTCAGCTAAGAACAGAAACTGAGGCTGCAATTCACACAGGCTCACCAAAACTGGAAGATTGGTAAAATGTTGCCTGGTCTGATGAGTCTCCATTTCTACTGCAAAATTTGGATGGTCGGGTCAGAATTTGGCATCAACAACATGAAATCATAGATCCATCCTGTCTTGTATCAACAATTCAGGCTGGTGGTGGTGGTGTAATGGTGTGGGGGAGATTTTCTTGGCACACTTTGGGCCCATTAGCACCAATTCACCATGGATGTGCAGCCGACAAATCTGCAGCAACTGCGTGATGCTATCATGTCAATATGGAGCAAAATCTCTGAGGAATATTTCCAGTGCTTCGTTGAATCTACGTAGGATTAAGGCATTTCTAAAGGCAAAAGGAGGTCCAACCCGATACTAGTAAGGTGTACCTAATAAAGTGGCCGGTGAGTGTATATTACATCACCAAAAATGCTTGACGACATGTCCATGTGTTGTGTAAGAAGTCAATATATTGATTATTGTGACAGGCCTAGCTTGCCTGTGATATTACAGCTGATAACTGAAGCTGCTTTGAAACATTCACACTATACAGTGAGTGCTATAGAAATAAAGGTCACTTAACTGCACTAAAACTACCTGTGTAACAGTAGACAGCAGAACAGCTCACTAGGTTTGGAACAGTCTTTCTCTTTCCATCTTTGCAATATTTTATAGTCTGTCTTTTTCTCTGTGTCTCTCCCCATTTCTTGTTCACATCTGGTGCAGTAATTACAGGTTATCACCCCACAGGGGTTGTTCACGCACACACACACACACACACACACACACAAACACTCAGGCTGTTCTCTGGTTTATGTACCCATAGGAAAGAAAAATCACAAATGAGATCTCTTTAATTTCTCAGTTGTTTCTTCTACGGAAATTAGATTAAATGGAGACGTTTTCTGTAGCCTCTTGCTCATGTTTTGGTCCTCAGTAAAATATTTAGTCATGTTTCATTTCTTATATATGCCATCATACTTTTACGATCACATTATAACTCGTTAATATGTGTTTCACAGCTTATGTCTTTTTAAAAGTAGTAAAATGATGCGTGCAATATGACTATTTCTTGTGCAGGGGTGCCCAAACTTGGTCCTGGAGGGCCGGTGTCCTGCATAGTTTTACTCCGACTTCCTTTAACACAACTGCCTGGTAGTTTTTGTATACCTAGAAAGAGCCTGATTGGCTGATTGCAGTGGGTATGTTGTTGTTTTGAATCGGTTACTTACTTTGCGACCACTGTACAGTTCAGTTCTGCATATGGAGGAAGGCGGCACGGTGGCTCAGTGGTTAGCGCTCCCACATAGCCAACGGACTTGGCCCAAATGTGGCCTCATTATGGCACTGCTGGCGTGTTGCCGGCACTGGCATGCATAATGTTGGCCGAATGTGGGCCATGCATGGCATTGATGGCATCATGCATGACAGCATGCATGACATGTGGGCCAGTTGTGGATGGGAGGTGTGTGGCCCAGATCAGTGTAGCACTTGTTCACTTTGTTTAGGTAACATTAGGGTGGGTTATGGCTTAGTTTTTGGGGTTTCTGGTTAAAGTGTAAACTTATAGCTGAGAATTGGTATCAAACATACCCAATTCAGGGCCAGTTAGGGGTGATAAATTGCCTAAGATTCAGGCCGGTTATGGCCCATGTGTGGCCCTTGTCTTTAATCCAGTTATGGGCCACTTCAGGACCATCATTCTTTGTGGTACTTGGGCCGAAGGTAAAGTTATTGTGTGGCCCAGATAACATTTGCTATGTGGGCTGTTGCCTCACAGCAAGAAGGTCGCTGGTTTGAGTCCTGGCTGGGCCAGTTGGCATTTCTGTGTGGAGTTTGCATGTTGTCTCAGTGTTGGCGTGGGTTTATTATCATTCACAGTTACATTGCTTTACTCCTATTCCCAAATGCACTCCTGTAGCCCCAAATGAATGCACACTTCACAATCTCTCAGGATACAGTAAATCAACATTATACAGTGTTTATTCCTCAATAAAGTCTGCAATTTCTGATGCCGACTAATTCAAGCCACTTTAACTCTATAAAGGCCAATGTCCTACACCAGGGGTGTTCAAACTTGGTCCTGGAGGGCCTATGCAAAGTAGAGTTTAGCTCCAACCCTAATCAAACACACCTGAACAAGCTAATTCCAGCATATGTTTTATGCAGCAGATTCCATTCCAGCTGCAACCCAATACTGGGAAACACCCACACTCACACACATTCATACACTACGGGCATTTTAGTTTATCCAATTCACTTAAAGCGCATGTGTTTGGACTGTGGGGGAAACCGGAGCACCCGGAGGGCACCCACACCAACACGAGGAGAACATGCAAACTCTACACAGAAATGCCAACTGACCCAGCCGGGACTCGAACCAGTGTTTAAAGCCCTGCAGGACTGGAGTTAAAGAGCTTAACACTGATGCATAAAAAGCAAAGTGAGTAGACTGCAATTTCTGCTTATATGATGTGGTCTTTGCTGCCCCCTTTTGGATACTGATGTATATTATCAGTGAGGTAAACAAGCTTCAGTGTCTAAGGTGGTAATTTGCTGTAAATAATATTTAACTTTAATATAAAGACGCTCTGAAATGTTTTGCATAATTAAATAACACTTAAAAATGCACAAATGCCTTTGCAAATGATGCCTTAAAGGCTGGAATAACTTACATTTTAAAGTGTATTCAGTTATCTTAATTTGGACTAATATATTGGTATTGTTTTAATGTGTTTATAATATAACCGAATGCAAAAAACACTACTAGACCTTTCTTTGAAAGATAGTAAGACTACTAGTCCGTTAAATAAAACACTACAAGACCTTTCTTTACAATAAACGCAGCTCATTTTGTTATGTTGATTTCTAATAGTAAGATAAATTTTTATACATTTTTTTCAATGTCAAAATACTTATTGGGCCAGTTTGGTAACGATTAAGTAATTTGTGTATTTTTTTTTTTTTTTTTTGTGCGTGTGTGTGTGTGTGTGTGTGTGTGTGTGTATTCATTTATTTATTTATTTTTTCTCTGTGTATTTAACATTCTCTATTCAATTATGTGGAGAGTGACTGAGTGTTTGAAGAACAACAGACAAAATAAATGTGTATTTAATAGTGTAGGCCCAGTATATTAGTATCTGACTTATTCCAAAAGGAGGAAGACATGTTTTAAGATGTTTGATTCAAGCTGATAAAAGAATTACAAGATGATTTTATTTTACTAGCCTTTTAAAATGAAAAGTCTTGTAGACTTTCTGCCTTCAACTGTAAAGATCTTTATTTACACTTACCTTTAAAAAGAAAAAAAGAGTAAGTGTAAAACACATGTTCCCACTAGATGGCGTGCTAAGACCATGCAAAAGACACCAAACCAATTATTTTTGTTTTCCCCCCATAGTGTACATTAAAACTTACAATTAACTGTAAAATTTACAGTACTTTGCTGCCAATTTTGATTGCCAGTAAGACTATACATTTACAATTACTTTACGTTTTACAGTATTTTAGTGTACATTTATGTGTAAATTAATAATTATTAATAATATGTAAAGCAAGTAAACACAAATAAATAAATATATACAGTTGAAGTCAGAATTATTGCCGCCCCTTTGATTTTTGATTTTTTTTATATATATATTTCCCAAATCATGTTTAACAGATCAAGGAAATTTTCACAGTATCTGATAATATTTTTTCTTCTGGAGAAAGTCTTATTTGTTTTATTTCGGCCAGAATAAAAGTTTTAAATTTTTTTATTAATATTTTAAGGTCAATATTATTAGCCCCTTTAAGCTATCTAGTCTAATATTATTTAATCATCATGGCAAAGATAAAATAAATCAGTTATTAGAGATGAGTTATTAAAACTAATATGTTATGGGGGGAAAGATAAACAGGGGCGCTAATAATTCAGGTGGGGGCTAATAATTCAGACTTCACCTGTATATGAGTTTCTTACTTCCTCTTATGTGTTTATTTATTCAATTGTAATCGTGTATAATGTGTAATGTCTTAACCATTGTTGCCTGTGCATCGGTAGGTTTCACTGTTGTAGGTGACGTCTTACTTTCGGTTTCTGTTGTGAAGTGTATAAAGCGCTGTTGTTTCACTAATGCTCTCGCGCCGGGTTAGCTCAGTGGTTACTTCTCAGCCAAAAGACAACTCTCATGGCCGCCGGGTCTCCGGAAGCCAGAGATCGAACCACGGGCACTGTCCAGCGTTTTACATTATTTGATGCTGTTAAAATCGTTTAGACAGAATTTTGCCTACACATACATTAAATAGTTATTATTATTATTATTATTATTATTATTGTTGTTGTTATTATTTTGCTAGTGAGATGTGTTTTCATGTCTTTTTGTGATTTGTTTAATATTCATCTGTGTCCTCGTGACAAAAGTAGGCTATTTCTTCATAAATGTCAGGTCGTAATTATTAGGATAGATTTTTAATAATCATAATTTAACCAGTGGTTATCTGTTTACTTGTACTCACCTGATTGTTTGTGTCAAACACGGTTTTCTCCGCTGCGTTGGTTTAGCTCAGTGGTTACTTCTGTGACCTTCACAAAATCAACCTCTCATGGTTGCGTTGCGGCCAGAGATCGAACTACGGGCACTGTCCAACGTTTTACATTTTTGACTATATAAAATCGAGTTTAGACAGAGTTTTGCCTACATATATACATGAATGGTTATTTTTTTCCAGCAAAATGTTAAATATGTCGGCTTTGTCTTTTTTCATGATGCGTTTAATATTGAGCTCGGGACACAAAAACCTACTATTTCTTTATAAATATCAGTTCGTAATTGTAATAATTTGTTTTTAATCGTAGTTTAGGTCGTGTTTGTGCGTTCACCTGTACTCACCTGAGTGTTTGTGTCAAAATGGCTTTTCCGTAGTGTCGCTGTTGCGTTGGTTTAGCTCAGTGGTTACTTCTGTGATCCCTGAAAAATCAACCTTTCATGGTCACCTCGGTGCCAGAGATCGAACCACGGGCGCTGTCCAACGTTTTACATTTTTGGTGCTGGTAAAAGCGGGATTTAGCCTAAACCCATACGATACAAAAATATATTTGGTAACACTTTATTTTGATGGTCTATTTGAGTATTAGTAGACTGTCTGCTTAATATCTCCTTAAACTGCTCCGTCAACTTCAGACTTTGCAAGCATGTCAGCTTACACCGACCCCACAACCCAAACAGTCTACTTATAATCTAATCAGAATTAGTTGGCATGTAGATGCAATGTGACCTAAATTCAACAAACGGAGCATCAAAATAAAGTGTGACCAAATATTTCACATATATTTCAAAATATACAAAAATGGCCCAAATTATATATTTGCTATAATATATTTCAAAATATTTTAGCATAAAACTATTTTTCTACAAATACATTTATGAACCTTTTCAAAAATATACATTTACATAATTGATAACATTCATTTATTCAGTTTCCTTCGGCTTAGTCCCTTTATTTATTAGGGGTTGCCACTGTGGAATGAACCACCAACTTATCCAGCAAAGGTTTTACGCAGCAGATGCCCTTGCAGCTACAACCCAGTACTCGGAAATAATTAATATTACATATAACATATACATTTCAGTATTTCAAGAAGATATATTTAAATGTAGCCTCACATTAAGAAAATATTAATTTTATTGTACTCATTTATTGTTTGTTTGCTACTGTTTTTTTTTTTTTTTTTGGTTATACATAAGATGAATGTTAAGATGTATCTGCTGTTATTGCTATTGTTTTATTACAGGTTACATGTTAAATAATGGATACTTTGTTTGATCTCTTTACACATTATTGTTGGAAATATATTTGTCACCTTAAACATATATTTTGAAATATATTTTGGTTGAAATGAAATATATTTTAGATTTCAAAAATATATTTTCCCAAACAACACAAATGTATTTGAAATATAATATTGCCAGGAAATATTCATTTATTAATTTACTTTTCGGCTTAGTCCCTTTATTAATCAGGGATCGCCACAGCGGAATGAACCGCCAACTTATCCAAGACATATTTTACACAGCGAATGCCCTTCCAACACTGGGAAACAGCCACACACTCTTGCACACACACACACACTATGGCCAATTAAGCTTATTCAATTACTGCTTGTCTTTAGAATCCACGCGAACACGGGGAGAACATGCAAACTCCACTCAGAAATTCCAGAATGACCCAGCCGGGGCTCGAACCAGCGACCTTCTTGCGGTTATATAAAAAGCCTATAGCTAGATTTTAGATAGGTCCAGCGTTGTGTTCATATTAATGATTATGTTTATTTATGTAGCTCAGTGGATCTGTGATATGTCCTTCCACTGTATGTCCACACATGTAGCGGAATAAAGCAAAACTTTTGTTGAACTTGACTTGATAGGAGCAATTTAAAGCAACTCCTGTTTTTGTCCACGAGGGGTCACTACAACACTGTTATTAAGAGCACCTGCGTAATTTTAGAGAAAGTTTGCTAGTGCTGAAAGCAGTTTTTCACCGTGTTTAAATCCGTGTTTTACTGAGCTTTTTGGAAAGAATAATAGGAAGATGGACAATACATTTGATGCTGGTATGAAATTCATATGTCATGCTCAAAAAGAAGGAGATCTAAGAGCTGTCTAATGGTGAAACACAATAAAAGAGTTGTTGTTATTAGCATTAGCATCCTGCCTGTGGACTTCATTTGCACGAGCATGAACAAATATTCGTATAGCAACTCATAAACACCTTAACTATAATGTTGTCTTTTTCAGAATAAGGTCAATAGTTAGATTAGAGATGTTCAGATAAATGCACTTATACTTTGGGCTGTATTTTGTATTTCAAATAGTCAGTATCATCCATCATGGACTTTTTTAAAGGACATAATATCCTTTTATGACTGAGACATAGGCTATATTGCAAAACAGTTTATAGTGTCCTGTCTTGTTTTGCATCTAATATGTGTACTGTAAGTGTTATATATATATATATATATATATATATATATATATATATATATATATATATATATATATATATATATATATATATATATATTTAAATGTTTCAATAACAGTAACATGTCTAAGACATGTCTAATTTGTTCAACACATGTTGTACCTGCAAAGTGTCTCACTGTTTAGGTTGACAGTAGTTTAAAAGCTATTCTATTAACTTTTATAACATTTTTTCTATTAATAATATTTTAATGACAGGGTGGACATGCTAAGCTTGACAATACTTAGCTTCGAACACAATATGAGGAAAATTAGGAAACATGTGTGTAGATACTATGAGCAAAGCAGATGTGTTAATCTTCTCTGAAGAAAGGCAATATGGGGACAGAGGTAAAGTTGGTTTTATATTCGCACATTCGTTCATTTAGAAGTCTCTATATTGTTTACCATGTTACTTTGAATATTCGCTCGAAATTAGCATGCAAGTATATCTTGAAAACAACATTAACACTGTTTATTTGACTGTGAACAATGTTGTACTTTGATAGTCATTGGCTGCTAATGTGATTTCGCTATTTAGAGTTTGCAAATAATACTTTTATGAAATTATATTATTAAGGAGAAAGTCTGAATGTGCGTATATAAAACCATCTTTACCTCTATAAAATGGGGTTGGGGGTGTGGGATGTCACTGGTGTTTCTTAAAGGGGCATTTACCAAATCATAACCAGCAATATCATGCAAAATGCTGAACTTATATTTTGTTTTCAAAATATTATCAAAATTGCTTATTAAATAAGTTTTTAATTAAAAAGAAGTATATTTTTATGCTGTAATTTATTGTTTACACTCCTTGAAGATAGCTCGGCAGTTTGTGGGACGTCAAAATCACTTACATTTAATCAAAGGAATTGGCATAAAATGTTAAAAACATACGTCAAGAGACTTATCGTACTTGTATGTGTGTAAAGGTTTACCCATTTATATTAAAACCTCAGAATTTCATTATTTTGCATTATGTTTTTGTCATATATCACTGATTTGATGCTGTGGGGACATCAAAAGCACTTTATAGTGATAATAAAGCATTCATATATTAAAAAAAAGGTCATATAATGGATAAAATTAGTGTTCATAAACACACAGACGCTTATTTTGAGGTGTTTGTTTAGTCAAAAGTTTAAAGCATCGATGTAACATCCCGAAATGAACAGCAGAGGGAGCTCAAAGATCATTTTTGAAAGAGAAAACTGAAATAATTCGTATGGCACATTCATACACTGTAAAATAACCTGGCTGTTTGTATTTTAAGCTGAATCAAATCAACCTAATGAGTCCATTAAACCTATATTATGTTGAACTGACTTAAAACAGCTTGTGTATATTATAAAATTAAGTTAGAACTTGATTAACTTAGTTTATTACAATGACCTAAACGACATACTGTCAGGATCAATTGATCACATATGTTTTTACGGTTTATTTTACTACATTTTATAGTATTTTTTCTATTAATATTTGAATTTGACAGAGTGGACATTTTAAGATCGACAACATTTAACTTCAAATGTGAGGAAAATTAGGAAACATAAGTGTAGATGCTTACTGTGTGCAAAGCAGATATGTTCATCTTCTCTGAAGAAAGGCAAAATGGGGTTGGGGGTGTGGGATGTCACTGGTGTTTCTTAAAGGGGCATTTACCACATTATAAACAGCAATATCATGCAAAATGCTGAACTTATATTTTGTTTTCAAAATATTATCAAAATTGCTTATTAAATAACTTATTAATAAAAAAAATTAGTATGTTTAAAAAGAAGTATATTTTTTATGCTGTAATTTATTTTTTACACTCCTTAAAGTTATCTCGGCAGTGTGTGGGACGTCAAAATCACTTAAATTTAATCAAAGGAAATGGCATAAAATGATGAAACAAACTTCAAGAGACTTATCATACTTGTATGTGTGTACAGGTTTTTTCAATTTAAATTAAAACTCTCAGAATTCCATTATTTTGCATTATGTTTTTTGTCATATATCACTGATTTGATGTTGTGGAGGCATCAAAAACACTTTATAGTGATAATAAAGCATGTATATGTTAAAACAGCTCATATAATGGATAAACAATAAGACATTAAGCATTGTTTTAGTTCCAAAAAACACGCATGTACAAACGCATATAGGTTTGTGGTTGGTATTAGGTTTGTGTACATACAGTCAGGGGTGGATTTAGTGATTTGGGGGCCCTAAGCAGTTCCAGTCATAGGGCCCGAAAGCTCTAAAATGTACGTTTTGTACTTTAATTTATTTTAAATTGATCTATTTAGCTGTTTTTATTCTTAAATCACTCCTTTTCTACATTTTGTCTCAATGCAAAAATAATGATAACAACATGTAAAGCATCTTGTCAAACTTTTAAAATGATTTGCTTTCTTAAAATGGATTCACAACTAAAAATAAAATATAAACTATTAGATTTTTAAAAACTAAATCTTTACCTAATTTGCGCATTTGCAATGTAATAAACATTAAACTTATTTTTTAGACCCTCATCATACAAAATATGATAGAAAATTGTGTAATATAAAATGTATAGATATAATTTATGCTTAGGTATGTATTTGGGGGCCCTCAGATTTCCCATGGCTATAAGCCGCCGCTTAGGCTGTACCTTGCCTATAGGTTACATCCACTTTTCTTGTCAGATTGTTTTACACCTCCCCTTCAAAAAGAATCAGATTTTGCTACCAGTGTAAATTTTTATGTGGAGTAGTGTATGATATGAAGCTTTAATATCGCTCTAACCTACATAACCCCCAACTCCAATCTTACAACCATTCAAATACAGTGTGGGTAGCATAATCTGATGGGTATATGTCAGGACGGTATGTGCAAAGTTTTAAGCCTCGATGCAACATGCCGAAATGAACAGCAGAGGGAGCTCAAAGATATGTTTTTAAAGGGGAAACTAATAATTTGAATGGCTCATGAAATCTTATACATATTTATGTCTTAATTTCTCTAAGACTACTTTATTCTTAGTTGTTTTGTAGGTTTTATTTTATTTATGTGTTATAAGGGTGAAATTTCAAGATCCCTTATATTATACTGTTTGATTATCCAGTGCATTCATGATGATAATGTGGTCACTCTGAATTCTGAAAGCTCTCTCTCTCTCTCTCTCTCTCTCTCTCTCTCTCTCTCGTCATTTCTTTGTGACTATCTCTAATTTCTTCCAGAAGTATTGAAGAGAGACAGACAGGGGTTCTGCAAGGTTACCGTGAGCGAGTTTAAATGGAGCTTGTGGTGAAAGTAATGGCACTCTCGCGCCCCGTGGACAATAAGCCGGCGGATGAAACGGGGCTTAAGGCCTCGTGTAATGCATGTTAATGTGACGGGCACCGTGAAATGCGCCGGGGATTATTTATCCAAAAACATTTGTATTCTTCTGTTGAAGAACGGCTGATCCCGGATAGCCGAGCACTAATCCGTCTCTGCGTTAATTAAAAAGAAGTCGAGAGCGGAGGAACTCCTGTTTTTTTTTTTTCAAATGCAATCATTTCTGCTGGAGCTTTACCATCTGCTGGAGGTTAAGTCTGACAGGAGATTTTATTCTGGGGATATTTAAACCTGGGTGGAGGATTTCACCTCCCCGTGGTGACAAGATCGGAAAACTTAGCTGGAGAAAACAAATCTGGTTTGAATTTGTTTACAGTCAAGCTGGAGTTAACCTGGTTTAGTCTAAAAGCTAGTTGTCTCAAACTAACCAGCCTGGTGGCCAGCAAAGAGCAAACCACCTGAGGCGGTCATAGTGTCCCCCAGCAAGGTTATTCTCTCATCCCTCAAGATGTGCTATAATGAACTCCAAGAATGTGTGTGTGTGTGTGTGCTTGCTTTGTGTGCCTGAAAGAGAGAGAGGGAGAGAGTCGTGCGCGTTCTTAATTAGAACATTCCTCTGAGGATGCTGGTGGGGAGCGCGCATCATCGACTGGTGCATGAAATGGTTTTAGGATCACGAGGATTATCCATGAAAATTAAAGATTAGATTTGGCGAACATGTGTCACTCTTCTAGAAGACACGATTCGGATTTGTCCCATCAAAACAATAACTTCCACAATCTATAATCTTATAAGTCAGCCGGTCTGTTTTTTCCTGTAATGTAGTCTGTTTACAAGGACTTATCTCATAACCTACATCATTCGTCTAAAAAAGGCCGGAGAGCCACCACTGGAACTCAAGCCAATATATTTCTTTTCTTTTTCTTTATATATATATATATATATATATATATATATATATATATATATATATATATATATATATATATATATATATATATATATATATATATTTATATTCGTAATCGGCAATGATTCATTTTGGAAGTTGCTTTCTAAAACCAGCTGGCTGGAAATTAATGAATACTCAATGTATATCTCAAACGAGAATAAATGACCCCACTGGAGAAGGTCACAGAATTACTAAGGATTGACGCTTTTCAGAAACAGAAAATGTTACACTGCCATTTAAGAAATACTGAGTATTGATTAGTTTTAACCTTTTTGCATATTCCCGGGCGATTAGGTGTGCCCGTTATCTCGCGAGTTGGTACAGTGAATATTCTCCTTGCTCTCATGTCGCCGTCCGCCAATACGAATCCTCGCCTACACACACACACAAACACACACACACACGCACACACACCACCTCCCTCTCTCGTCTCACACACTCCTCAAAGCGTCTAACACACTGGAAAATCAAAGCGCTCGCCTCTCCTGCTCACACACCGCCTGCGCTGCGCGCAAAGCGCACAACCCAAGAGAGAGTCAAGTTTGCTGCGAGTACCATTCTCTTTTAAAAATCTACCCATGCACTTTTTGAACATATAATTTTTTTGATCTGCAAAATAATGCAGGTGCTGGTTGTGTACAGAAATAGTTTTTTAAGATCTGTTTTAATCTTTCACCTCTCAGCATGACTCTTCTCCGTGAAGACAGCTGAGAATATCTGACTTTAGGAAAATGGACCGGAGGCTTCCGAGGAGGCGATGGACGTTGGCAGGGCAAATTGTGTGTCTGCTTCTGTGTGCGTGCGCGCTGGACCGGGTTTTAGCGCAGATTCGCTATTCAATTCCCGAGGAGTTGGAGCACGGGGCTTTCGTGGGGAATATTGCTGAGGACTTGGGCTTGGACGTGGCTAAACTGTCTTCACGGAGATTCCGGATTGTGTCCGGAGCAAGAAAACAATATTTAGAGGTGAATCTGGAGAACGGGATTTTGTTTGTGAATGAGAAGATTGACCGTGAGGAGCTCTGTGAACAAAGTCCCGTTTGTTTCCTGCACTTGCAGGTGGTCATTGAGAACCCGCTGGAACTGTACCGGGTAGAAGTTGAGATTTTGGATGTGAATGACAACGCGCCCAGTTTCCCGTGGAGCGAGTTTAATTTGGAGATCACGGAGTCTGCTGCGCCTGGCTCCAGGTTCCCGCTCGAGAGCGCACAGGATCTTGACGTGGGCTCCAACTCTCTTCGCTCGTACTTGCTGAGCGCGAATCAACACTTTGTGCTGGACATTCAGACGCGGAACGATGGAAGCAAGTTCGCAGAACTCGTTCTCCAGTCTCAGCTGGACCGAGAGCAGCAAAAGATGCACGAGATGGTGCTCACTGCTGTGGACGGAGGCTCTCCGTTGCGCTCGGGCACGGCTCAGATCACGGTAACTGTATTGGACGCGAATGACAACGTCCCTGTGTTTGATCGCTCTGTCTACCGCGTCAGTTTGGTGGAGAACGCGCCGAGAGGCACGCTCGTGCTTAAACTGAACGCCACGGACCTGGACGAAGGCGCAAACGGCGAGATCACTTATTCGTTTAGCGGGCACGCGCCTCTGAAGGTGCGGGAGCTGTTCAGCGTGGACTCGCACTCGGGGGAGATACGGGTGAAGGGAATAGTGGACTACGAAAGGGCCAGCGTTTACGAGCTCTACGTGCAGGCGAAAGACAAGGGACCCTCCGCCGTGGCCGTGCATTGTAAAGTGCTGGTCGATATTCTGGACGTGAACGACAATGCGCCCGAGGTCATATTAACCTCCGTGTCAACACCTGTTCAGGAGGACGCGCCCCCGGGCACGGTGATTGCCGTGATCAGCGTAATGGACCGCGACTCGGGAGAGAACGGGGCTGTTGATTGTCAGATTCCCGGAAACGTGCCCTTCCAGCTGCACTCCTCTTTTAAAAACTATTATACACTAGTGACCAGCGAGTTTCTCGACAGAGAATCTGTCTCGGAGTACAACATCACTCTCACAGCGCGAGATCTGGGCTCGCCCCCGCTGTCCACCAGGAAGACCATTCTGGTTCAAGTGTCTGACATTAACGACAACCCGCCGCGCTTCATTCAGCCCTCGTACACAGTGTATGTGACCGAGAATAACGCCCCGGGCGCTTCAATTTGCTCGGTGACCGCATTTGATCCGGACTCTAATCAGAACGCGTATTTGTCCTACTCTATCCTGGAGGGTCAGATTCAGGGCATGCCCGTGTCCACTTATGTCTCCATCAACTCCGATAACGGCAACATTTACGCGCTGCGCTCTTTCGATTACGAGCAGCTTCGGAACTTTCAGATCCGCGTGCAGGCGCAGGACGCCGGTTTCCCGCCGCTCAGCAGCAACGTGACCGTCAATGTATTTGTTTTGGATCAGAACGACAACGCTCCGGTCATCCTGTCGCCGCTGCCGAGAAACGGCTCCGTGGCTACCGAGATGGTGCCCAGATCTGTGGACTCTGGGTATCTTGTTGCTAAAATCACGGCTCTAGATGCAGACGCGGGACAAAACTCTCGCCTGTCTTATCAAGTGCTGCAGGCGACAGATCCCGGGCTGTTCAGCGTGGCTTTGTACACCGGGGAGATCAGGACGATCCGCCGCTTCGTGGACAAAGATGCCATTAGGCAAAGACTCGTCATCCTCGTCAAGGACAACGGACAGCCGCCGCTCTCGGCCACCGTGTCCATCATTCTCTCGGTGGTGGACAGCGTGCCGGAGTCGCTGTCTGATTTCGGTGACCTCTCGCTCAGCCCTCAGCCCCCATCTAACCTCGCGCTCTATTTAATCGTGTCACTGAGCACCGTCTCGCTCATCTTCCTCGTGGCCATCATCGTTTTGGCGGCTGTGAAATGCTACAAAGACCGAGACTCCCTCGGCGGCTACGCGCTCTCCTCTCTCAGCACCGCGTGCTGCAGCTTTGAACCGGAGCCGCCCGCTGAGGTGTTCAAAAAGTCTAATCTCAACCTGCAGATCTCCACCGGCGCCAAAGTGCCCACGAACTGCATGGAGGTAAACAGCAATGCTGGAAATCTCTCTCAAGCTTACTGCTACAAAGTGTGTTTGACGCCCGAATCAGCAAAGAGCGACTTTATGTTTCTCAAGCCTTGCAGTCCCGGTACACCGAGGAATAACGCGGCGAGAGGAGCGGATAACCTGGCGCTGAGCTCACAGAGCCGCTGCTCATCAGTGAACAACGGAGCCACCACACCAAACGAGGTAAAACTCCCTCACCCGTAACATTAACTTATTGAGTTTGTCAGCTTATGTATTGTGAATCACTTTATATAGTGAAGGACATCCAAAAAGTGAAATATTGATGATAGAGATGAATTGGTTAGGGATTATCTATAAATATACAGTTTAAAACACGGAGGGCTCTATTTTATAGGTCAAAACATCTGAAGTTAATCAATGACCTTGATTGATAGTGAACGCGCATCTCTAGACAGCAGCATCATCTGGAGAAACAGAGGACAATGCGCGTCTTTCAGCACTGTCTTTAGTTCTTGTGCTCTCTCTCTCTCTCTCTCTCTCTCTCTCTCTCTCTCTCTCTCTCTCTCTCTCTCTCTATATATATATATATATATATATATATATATATATATATATATATATATATATATATATATATATATTCACAAAGAGACAGAGAAATACATTTGCTATAGTATTTCAGCGCGTTTCAGCTTCTGGTCCTAAAATGCCAACCTCGTCTCTAACCTTCTAACTAAAGAAGCCTTTTAGTTTTCTTCTATTGCATTTAGGCGCAGACATCCTTTGTCAACTACATATCAAGGACGCGCGCGCGCACACGCACTACAAGCTAATTATCCCGCGCACAATGGCAGACGGACGCTGACTGGTTTCTTCTATAATGGACCTGGGAAATGAAAGCATTAGGGAGCAAGCAGGAGCCGATGGAGACGTGTCGCGCCTGTAGATTCTGCCACTTTGCCCTCATAGAATGAAAACCAGACAGCGTGGAAGAAAGTGTGTGTGTGTGTGTGTGTGTGTGTGTGTGTGTGTGTGTGTGTGTGTGTGTGTGTGTGTGTGTGTGTGTGTGTGTGTGTGTGTTCTCTTAATAACCACTAGGTGGAAACGTCAGGCTGTAATGTAAACGTGCTCACTTCCGTGATTATTCAATTGTCAGGGTGACCTGTTGGAGAGACAGGTGTCACCTTGCCTTGGGTCAGTGAACATCAAATAGCTTAACAAATCAACGCGTCTTATTTATGGATTACAATCTGTGATCTTTATAAGATCTGTGCTCTCATACAGAGCATTCACAAAAGCATTTATACTATAATGATAATCATTCATTCATGCATTCATTTTTTATTGGGTTATTCCCTTTATTAATCTGGGGTCTCCACAGCGGAATGAACCGCCAACTTAATAATAATAATAATGATGATGATGATGATGATGATTATGATAATAATAATAATGAAAATGATAATGATAATAATAATAATGATAATAATAATAATGATAATAATAATAATAATAATAATGATAAAAATAATAATATTAATGATGATAATGATAATAATAATGATAATAATACTAATGATAATAATAATAATGATAATAATGATAATAATAATAATAATAATAATGATAATAATAATAATAATGATGATGATGATGATGATGATAAAAATAATAATATTAAAGATAATAATAATAATAATAATGATAATAATAATAATAATGATGATGATGATGATGATGATAATAATAATGATAATAATAATGATAATAATGATAATAATAATAATAATAATAATGATAATAATAATAATAATAATAATAATGATATTAATAATAATAATAATAATGATAATAATAATGATAATGATAATAATGATAATAATAATAATAATAATAATAAAAATGATAATAATAATAATAATAATAATAATAATAAAAATAATAATATTAATGATAATAATAATAATAATAATAATAATGATAATAATAATGATAATGATAATAATAATGATAATGATAATAATAATATGAATAATAATAAACTTATGAGTGTGTGTATATACATACAGACGTACATTGTGGTTTAAAAAAAATCTCCAATAGTTTGTGCGCAGTGAGAACTACCGAGCAGATCTTAAACAGGATTTCATCAGGGAGTGTATTGAAGCTGGAAAATCCTTTATGAATTCACCACGGTAAAATGCGCGCGCACGGGAGGCTCTAAAATAAAACAAGAAATTAAATTAGATTGAATTCGTCGGGCAGTTAAACGCGTTCTCCAAATTAATTTCCGGCCCGCTGCGGTTTCCTTTGAAGATTAAAATCGGATGTCGGTGTTCTAATTATCTGCGGAAGGTATTTTGAAGAACGGGTCTAATAATAAGCTTACATGGAGCTCTCCTTATGAGACTTTCGCGAATTAATAGAGCGTGGAATCCATACTTTCTCTCTCTCCCTCTCTCGCTTTGACATGGAATAAATAACACCCCCATATCCCTCCTCCTCCTCCTCCTCCTCTTCATCCTCCACCCCCGCCGCGTCTCTGAGGATGAAAGAGAAGACCGTGACACTACAGTCATTGCTCAAGGCGCCACTGCTCCAAATCAAATGGCCTGCTTTTCACACTTTGTCCACCAGGAGGCGTTCAGAATTCCTTTAAAGGGGGCCTATTATGGTAAAATCACTATTATAAGGGGTTTAAACACAATTATGTGACAATAGCCTATGCATATAACCAGATTATAATGGTAAACATGTATTAATTTCACTTTTAATAATCACACTTGATTATAAAAGTCTGCAAAGACACTTTGATTGATATTCTCCCTTTGTGCATGCCATCAGAGGTGAAAGCCCCGCACATCAGTGACCTTTTTTCTCCTATTAGCTTAGGAAGTTAGTCTTGTTTTTGAATATGCCACTATTCTGACACATATGCATATGTAGCCCCGCCCTCTTTTGAAAAAATCACAAAATTGAATTTAAAGCGACAGTGTGGCACAATTAGTATGGAACAAAATCAGTGCCATAAGTACTGAAATAAAAAGCTTGTTGAATAGCACAAACTGAAAAAAAAAATACATTACATTAACAACTGCTTGCATTTTAATGACTTGAATTCCAGGGTTTGTATATTTAGGTCTTGTAATTTAACACAGCTGTTTATTTAAGCTGTGAATATTTCAACTACACATATTTCAAACATGATGAAAGTTCAATAATTCATATTCAATTTTCAGATTTCACCTACAAAATATTCAATACCAGTAAAAAATACGAAGCTTAATGTTCAAAAGGTAATTTTCATAAGGTCTTTTTCATAATTTTCATAAAATTCACTTTCATAAATTCAGTGGATCAAATTCGGCTCTTAAAATTTGACATTACTTCCGGGGACTGCAGGAAAAGCAATAGATTGTAGATTGACAATCTCAAGCTGCTTTTTTCACTAGCAGGGGGACCAATTTAGGATTTTTATTAAACCTGTAAATAAGTGAGGAAAAAAGCTAATAATGGCACAAAGTTAGCATTTAATATTTTCAATGTCAAATTTTAGCAGCTAAATTTGATCCACTGAATTTATGGAAGCGAATTTTTGAACTGAAATAAAATTGTCTTTTCAATATTATACATGAAATCTGGAAGATGAATGTGAACTATTGAATTTTTAAGTGTATAATCATGTTTGAAATATTAGTAGTTGAAATATGCACAGCCTAAATAAACAGCTGTGGTAAATTTCAGGCCCTAAAAACACAAACCCTGGCAGTCCAAGACATTCAAATGCAAGCAGTTGTTAAGTCAATTATTAATTGACTTAGTTAATTTGTATTAGTACATTTTTTTTTTAGCTTCTGCTATTTGATAAGGGTTTTTTAATACATTTGGCATTGATTTTGTTCCATAAATTAGAATCAAACTCTAAAAGGAGTCAGTTTCAAAGAGTTATAAAATGTGGGGTATTTTGAGCTGAAACCTAACACACACACACACACACACACACACACACACACACACAAACACACACACACACACACACACACACACACACACACACACACACACACACACACACACACACACACACACACACTTTAGGGACATCAGAGACTTATTTTACATCTTGCCAAAAAAATGGCCCATTAATGCTTGAGAAAAATCAGCAAGTAAAACTCACAAATAATCATGACGTTTGAAATCTACCAGATTTAACCTGAAATAAATATTTTAAATAATGTTATGAAAGCCAAAATCAAACAAAAAGTACCTTAAATAATGCGTTAGTGCTCTTTGGGTAAGGAATCCATCAGAATAAACAACCTAAATTAGTCGAAGGCTCTCAAAAAATGTAGAAAAACCTATAGTCAAAAAATCAGAATAGCCATGTCAATAAAGGCTTTTTAATATTTTTTCCTCATTTGTCGAATGTCTTGGACTGATTTTTGCTGTTTAAAGTTATGAAAGCATTTCCAACATGTGGTCTCCTCCATATTTCTTCTTCTTCACACGTCAATGTTTTGTGTTGCAGCTGAAACAAGCAAACACCGACTGGGCCCTGACCAAAAATCAAACATCATCTGTGAAAAGGTAAAACACACATTTCTTTATTGTCTATCATTCGGTATACAGTACACACACCACAGAAATGATTATTATTTATGAATAATAACACAATGTTATAAATACAGTGCTGAACAAACAGAGGATCGCAGCAGATGCAGAACGATCATTAGTTCAAATCCCAGGAATACATTCACTTATTACAGCTAATGCAGGGGTGCCCAAACTTTTTCATATAAGGGGCCAAAAACCAAATATCACTGAAAGCCATGGGGTGAAAATAAACCAATCAAACTATTTTACATTGAGGTTTCCATGGGTAAATTCATAATTTATTAGAAAACATGGGAACACTTTAATTTAGATCACAGTTTATAGTATTAACAAACCAATGACTAATTCTACTAGCTTAATAAACTACTTATTAGCTGTTTATGAATAGCTAGTAAGGTAGAAGTTGGGTTTAGGCTTTGGGATGAGGGGTGCAGAATAAGATTTATAACTACTAATGAACAGGTAATGTCTTAATAATAGGCAGGTAATAAGCAGTAGTAATTAGCATGACCTAAACTAAAGTGTCACCGAAAACATTCCTCTAACTCAAACTGTGGTTCGTGAACCACTAGTTGTACGCAGGCTTCCTTCTAGTGGTACACAGAGTAATCCAATATCAATGTCATATGTATATGCAACATATATTTCAAAATTTATCAAAAATGGTTCATATATGAATATGATGACATATAGCCTATATTTATGAGGTCCAAGCAACATTTCCAGGTTTTGATGAATAGGTTACTATAGGTTAACACTTTACATTTAAATAAAGATTTTATATATATATATATATATATATATATATATATATATATATATATTATTTTTATTATTATTTTTATTATTTTATTATTTTAATTATTTTATTATTATATATATTATTATTTTTATATTATTTTTTTTACTTTTAATACAGTATAGCCTACCATTTTTAATAAACTTTTAAATAACAAGTTTTAATTTAAACGTTGACATTTTTTTTCATTTTATTTATTTATTTTTTTACATATAAGCACAGTACAGTGTTAATGTTCAAACTATTTATTATGTTTAAAGTGGCTGATAATAATAAAAATTCTTCATAATAGTAGTTAATCTGTCACGATTTTAAACTGCAGAGTTGTAGCTGCCTTACTGGGCCTACTACGCTACTGTATTTCAATACTGGTCATTATGGTGGTTCTCGGAGGGACAATCTGAGGTGGTGCTTGGTGAAAAAAGTTTGAGAACCACTGCTCTAAACCGTATTAACTGATGCAGTATAACATTTATAATGATAACTAATTGCAATAAAAATATGAGCAATCACATTTATAACAGTGGAGTGCAACGCTGAATACACTAGTCAAGCAGAATCTGCCTTTGACTTGATTTGTCCCCTATCCATCGGGTGACAGTATGCACAAATAAACTAAATCCGAGTTATTTACACCATTTCATTTCATTTAGCTCTTAACAATAAACCAAACACATTAGATTTGAATTGACAATCTCTAAACCACCTTTATTATTCTTCCTCTGTTCTCAAGAGAGCCAAATCAAAGGTTACCATGGGCCCACTTTGGCCCGCGTGCCCTAGTTTGGGGATCTCTGCTCTAATGTGATATCTGCTGAATAGCTCAATGCTCAAAAGTTTTAAATGTAATTTATTCATGCCTTTTCTCTGCACACCAAAACTGCACTTATATTTGAAACGTCTTTTATGACGTCAAAGCTGAATTTCCAGCATCATTAATAATTGAATGCATTAATAATTGAATTATTATGCTGATTTGCTGCTTAGGAAACATTTCTTATTGCACATCTTGAAAATATTTCATCACATTTGTGTGGAAACAGCGATAGTTTACAATTTTGTTTAAAAATAAAATGCTAAATGAATCAAAAATGACATTAAAGACATTTATAAAGTTACAATGATTAGAATAAAGTGGTTTACATATATTAAATATAAATAATACAGATTTTGCTGTTTCAGTTGTATTTTTTAGAAGAAACATGCAGTCTTGGTGAGCAGAAGACAAAAACAATCACAAAATCTTTTTAGCATTCAAACTCTTTGCATTTTATAGAAATAAAAACACATTTTAAACTAATTTATTGCATGCATTACACTGTAAAAAGTGATTAGTTACTTAAAGTGAGTAAACCAATTGCCTTAAAAGCAAGACGTTGACTTTACTAAAATAATGTGAGTAAACCCATTGTAACTTGAACTGTTAAGCTGACTTAATTTTATAATTATGCTTCTTGTACTCACTTTTTAAGAAGTCAGCTAATCCTTTTTTACACTGTCAGACTATTTTAGCACGTCTGTTTTTAAATAATTACTGCAGCGATTACAATATTTCATATTTGGTGCTTCATTAAATCTATAAAATCTACAAGTATAGCCTATGTTGAATTTAGAAGACACTGGAGTCTGGAAGAGCAGATTTGTTTTATTTGCTGTCAGGGACGGACTGGGACAAAAATTCAGCCCTGGCACTATAGCCACACCAACCCACATTACCATACGTACTGTTTGTTAGACATTCTTGCCAGATTTTGATTATGTCCGCATAACCTTTGATTGAGTCGGCCCATCTTGAAACCATCACCGATTGGGCCACATGCTTAACATTTACTATTATTATTATTATTATTACTATTATTACCATCATCAACGTCATCATAATATTCACATGTTGCACAAGATAAAAGCTGCCTGCATGTAAAAACAATACATATAAAAAATAATAATTAAAAAAAAAAAAAAATTGACCGGCCCACATTTTAAAAAAATGGTCCAGCCCTTCTGGCATTTGCCACCCCTGTTTGCTGTCATTTTGCTGGATACAGAAAAGCTGAAAGAATAAAAATAAAATAAATGTGCATTGGAAAAAAGTGATTAGTTTACATTTATAAAAAAAAAAAATACAATTTGCATAATTAAAAAAAATGTCAACTTAACAATTGCAAGTTACAATGGGTTTACTTACATTATTTCTTTAAAGTCAACTTGTTTTTTTTTAAGGGAATTAGTTTACTTGCTTTAAGTAACTAATCACTTTTTACAGTGTAAAACCCAAAATGTTAAAGTAACTCAAATCGTTTGATCCTCATGAGTACTATAAACTTAATCCGTTTGAGTAAATGAAGCAATTTGAGCACAGTAAAAACAAATAATTGAAGAGAACTCAAACCAACTGAGTATTGTAAAACTCAATAAGTTAAGTCAACTCAAACCGTTTGAGGAAACCGATTACAACAAGCCATTTGAGTTAAAAAAAAGCTAATCTATATGAGTACTGTGAACTTACTTCATTTAAGTTGAAGTAATGACGTATTTAATCAATTAATTGAGTTCAAAACTCTTTTCAAATGAGTAGAATTAACTTTTAGTAAGTTTTGAGTCGGCTACACTCATTTCATTTGATAAAGTTGACTGTTGGGTTTTACAGTGTGTGTGTTTTTTAACTTGAGTTATTTCCAAATGAGGTTTCATCGTGTAGAGATAAGATCTTTCATGCATGAATTTGTTGATCGCATGCTCTGGATTATTAAAATATCTATCTATATCTCAGGTTGGCCTAATTTCTCATCATCATCATCTGTTTGCAGTTGTAACTCCATAAATATGGACGGCACTCTGGTGCGTAAAGCCATGCAGGCTGAACCAGAGCATTATATGGGTCAGATGGCTGCAGGACAGTACTGGACCTGGGGAACACGCTCCAAAGGTAGGTCACATTACTGGGCTCTGTCACACTGTCAAATATAGCAAACAAATAATCCGATATATTCGTCAGTAAAACAGGATATTCAACAAGGTATAGGTGCATTCAAATATTGCTTTTTGTGAAATGCATGGGTAGAAACATCACTTTAAATCATAACTTATTTATATCACATTACTTACTTTTAAATTAGTTATTTTAACTGTATTTTTATGAAACATTTCTCAAATATAACACGTAATACCCATGCAAGATGACAAATCAGAATAAAAAATATGATTATAAACAAATTAATAACAAACAAAGAC